TATTGATTGTACCATTTAAGGTAACTCACCTTCCACAACTTTTTCAGCAAACATCTAACATTTTTATTTAGACTGAAATCCCATGATCACTAAAATAAACTAAATATACTGTAGAAAATCCTTGGAAAAACAAAGACAGCCAACCAACTAGACTACAGTCCTTCATTTCCTAATACTGGAGGTTACAGGACCTAGTACATATAAGTCAACTAACTTCTAAAATATTTACCCAAGTTTTGTTATTGCTCTTTGGCAGATGAGAAGGCAAAATTGGTTCTTTTACATTACTCTTCCCAAGTAAGAATTAGGATTCAGGATCAAGACGACAACAAGGATTCAGAAGTTACTGGCTCTCAAGTCCAGTGCTCAGTTTTTTAGTTAATAAACAAAATAAATTAGAATAAACTTGCATTTCTTCTCCACACACCAAACTGGTTGATGCATCCTTACACAGAATCAGAATTACTCCATTTGCTTGATGGAATATCTCTCTTTTTCAGTTCTTGCTTTTCAAAAGCTGGTAGCTCCTGCCAGCAGACTGTGGGCAATAATTGACCATAAGAAGCCCATTACTGCATCGAGAAAAAAATGCCCCATTTTTAAATTTCCTTTACAGTTGCCAACAATCTGTCCAGGCTAGGAAGCTGAAGAAAATACATATGTCCTTCTTTAAATACCACCTGTTTCAAGAGCTGTTACTTCTCACAGAAAATGCAAGCACTACTCCTGTGCTGCACTTCTTTTGCATTGTCTTAAGTCTATCCTAACTGCTATTGCAACAAATCTTGCGCATACAAGTCTCTCTGAACTCAGTGGAAGACTGATACAGAAAACAAGTCTTACTTCATGGATTAAATCAGAGGTTTTCAAACTTTCTAAAAGCATGAAACCTTTCATGTCACTTCTGCCGCAGAACACCTATCTGTCCTGTGAGCTGACGTGAAGCCAGATGCCCTGGCTCGGCAACACAGCCCCTTGGCTTGCTCCCCCAATCTCATTGTGGAAGCCCTGACGATCCATCATGGAAGCCTAGTGTTTTGCAGAACACATTTCAAAACCACTGGGCCTGATTTTGCTATGTAAATCCAGAGTAACCTTATTTGCACCAACACAAATTAAAAGAGAAAGCTAAACTATTGCCCCGTGTTTTTTATGAAACGTATTTGCAAGTACAAGTGATTGAAATGGAAATGAATGCTTGACAACATGAAATGGTATTTGAAATTTAGACAGAGGGTATTGGAGGTCTGATACTAGCCATCACCATTGCTCCTAAGATTGCTGTAATGACTTTGCTGCTGGAAAGAATCATTCCTAGGTGGCTCTGGCCAAAAGCTAGAGTCCCAGGGGACTGCTTGCCCTTGATGAAGACAAGCAGTACTTGAGGTAATGCAGCACCATTATAAAAATTCACAGAGGCTGTTACTTTTTGAAGACCATGGATTTGACTGAATGGGGACAAAGGGCTGGTTTGAAGCCTCTCTCTTTCAAATTTATTATTCGTCCTTAAAAAAGCAAGCATTCTCTAATTTTTTTTTTCAAACGATTCTTTCACATGTGACAGGCTCCGCGATGTCACAAAGACACTCGTAGTCCTAACAGTGAATGCAGTGAAGCAGAACCTGGCCATTGATTAAAAATCAACAATGTATAGGCTGCTTTTCTTACTCTCTAAGGAAGAAGTAATGGAAAAGTTTACTGAGCTGTGTACCAAGCTGCTTGTAGGGACTGTTGGTGAGAGAGGAGTAAATCTTAGCTTAAACCAGCATGTGGCATCATACAGATGCATCTCTCTGTATACTCTATCCATACCCCGGACCATTAACACACTGGAATCATAATCACTGAACTGGTTTATGGCCTAAAACAGCCCCCAACTTTCAGCATGGAATAGGAAGAGTGCTTCCTTGAGTTACAGAATGATAGGAAGGTAGAGCTGGAAGGGATCTCAGGAGGTCATCTACTCTAACCCCCTCCTCCAGGTGGAATCATCCCTAGCTAAACCATCCTATTCAAGTGTTCGTCTCACATTTTCTTAAACCTGCATGAATAACCCGCTCGCACCCTGGAGCATGTGTAAAAACACCCATATTGTCTAAGAGTTGCTCTTGCCCAGTCACCACTTGTGTTCCATACTTGATACTGTAAAAAGTTTATGAATTAGGCTTTCAGCAACACAGGAACCAACACTTACATTTTCAAAAATATGAAAGTAGTTGTTCCATGTCTGCCAAGGCAGCCCAAAAGGAATATTTGTTCTTGGCTTCACATTGCAGTTGGTATAAGGATAAGGTCCCCTCCTCTCCCGTTGACGGCTTCTTTTGCCGCGGCGCTAGGAATGTGAATTTCTGCACGTTCTCTCAGAGCGTGGCCCCTCCTGCTTGCAGGTAACTTATGGTCTATGTCAGGGCATCTATTATAGTCGCAACATATTGCCCACTGTTCCCTAGCAAGCCTGCATCCATGGCTTTGATCGAGGCATACCCACACTGTCCTTCCCTTCCACACTACAGGGAAGACTAGCTAAATCAGTGAGTATTAACTTGCACTGGATTGAACACAACGTCAATGAGAACATCCATTTTTCTACTTACCCTTTCTTGCCTCTTTTAGATCCAGAGTCTATACCTGGGAGAGCAGCTATGACAAGGCGATTTGCTAATCTGAGGAAAACATTTAGCCCATTATTAACACTTTAACAATAAAAGCGGCACGTAAACCTAACAAATGCTAACTCTAGAACTTCAGAATATTAATGCCATCATCAATACCCCTTAACTAACCTACATAATTCATTATGACATCAACAGGGTTGCAGAAAACGTTATGCAGAAATGCACTGTGATAGAGCCAGCAATAGTACAGCTTGAAAGCAACATTAGTAAGAACTTTTAATAGAGTTAGTATTTGCAAAGTGCATCACGAATGTAAAATGTTTGTACAGTCTTGGGGATTTTTGAGCTAAGGTTTGGGGATTTTTGGTCATAATGCAGATATTTTGAATAATACTTAATTTTTAAGTTTTTGCAAGTCTTTGCACTTACGTAGGTATTGAATAAAAAGATCTATACCTTTGAAATTACATTTCAGAGATTTTTTTGTATAACATGTTTGGTACTTTTAGCTATTTTTAACTATAGTCTGATACTTAAAATTAGCCTGCCTCCCACAGGTTCAATAACACAAAAATCATACTTAGCATCTGTAGCACTTTTAACCAAGCAGTACATTAATTTTAGTAATGATAAATGTTCTGACGCAACATGGTACAGAAACTGCACTTCCAAGGCAAATGTAACTTTTGGCTAAACTCTGGTGATGTCCCTGGAGAGGTTTCTCATTGTACCAAGGCTAGACTTGGCCAGTGGAAAAATTTCTTTGTAAAGATTCTGCTTCTTGTTCATCAGAAGTATGTTCTACATTTTCTAGTTCAAAATGAGCAAAAGAAATCCAAAATAGTTATACTGCAGCGGTGTTTAGGAAATCATTCTCTGTGGATGTGCTATTTAGGATGCAAAATCTTACTAAGACCTTAGAGTGCAACAATATACCAACGAGCTGCAGAAAACCTCTTTGCTGCAGATAGTGCTAGGCAGCTTAATAAACCTGAGTGGCAGGGCACAGTGTCAGCCAGTGTAATGGTTTGGTCCCCAGGGTTTTATTCTATGTCCCACCATTTCAGTTTAGGGGGCACAGAATAAGACTGTGGGGATTAAACCCCTGTCACATGTACAAGTGCCCCTGCAGCCTGGTGTGGGAAGTGTGTCGCAAGATAACTTCCCTTCTCAACACTTTGTTCAAACGCTCAGGTCAGCTCTTTTGCCAAGTGCTGAGCTCAAGATACAACCATTGAAAAGCCCTGTAAAAAATACAATGTCACCATATGGAAGTTCTCTCCCTGTGACTAGCTGAAGCTGTGCCTCAAAAGATTTGGTTTAAACTGAAAATGATAGAACTGTGAGCAGTTCTATCTTAAACTCAATCAATACCTTTTCCAGAGATGACACCTGAACATACACTCATAGAATTCAATGGCAATATTCCTGCTGATTGAAGACACTCAGTTATTATGCAAAGATTGTACGCTTTGCTATAGATTAGGTTATGCTTCCAAAAAAGCTCTGCTCAGCATCATTCTCTTGCTCTTTTCCCTGGGTTAGCAGCCAGAATTAGTTTTATATTTTACACAAAGTGGGATGCAATAATTGTACATCAGTGTCTGGAGACAGCAGGTGTGTTCTGTGTCCTCCTGTGAATGGGCATGGCTGATATTCTCTCTGCTGATATTTAGGTTCATGCATGCATCTTTTTATTTTTTTAAGTCTGGCAGTTTAGTCTCAATAAGTAGTTTAAAATGAAAAAAGGATTAGATTCCATTAGATGTTTACTTACGAATTGGAGCTTTTCACATATTTTAGAATGATAATGAGAGTGCTGTTTTGTCAGGGAAAAAAACGTAATTCTTGCTTACTGACACAAGATACTGCAGAGCTAGAATTAGCAAAATCTGGCAAATACTTAGAAGAAAAAATCATCTGCAAATATTTACGTGGATATTTTAATCATTTCACATCAGCCATTACTCACAGCTGCTCTGCGTTCACTAGTCTCAAACATTTATGCGAGTGAGTTTTATTGGCATCAACATTTATGGAAAATGAATTTCAGTGTCACATGCAGAAGTATTCATCTAAACAACATTTTAGATTCACACGTGGGAGTTTTCACGCAAGGCAGCTAGCAACAGTTATTTAACAAAATAAACCCCACCATGCTTGAGGTTTGTTATCGCCTTTAATGAGATCTAATCTGTTTGCCACTTTTTTCTAGGAGCAGGAAGAGACTGCAGTTTTATATTAACATTCACACAGCTCTGTTAATCATCAAGTGTAGATAGTCCTGTTGTGTTGTACTGATTAAATCAGCTGTGGGATGGAAGAAATCCAGTAATGAACAATTAGTGAAGTTTTACATTACAATTCACTAGAAGAAGAAACACATATGTTGACATATACACAATTTTATTTTAAGGACCAACACAGCATTCACAATGACAGCAATAGAACCATTATTTTAATACTGAAAGCTTTCCTCCACAAGCCTGGCTTGTAATTTTAAGCCACAGTTAAATCTGAAAGTATTTTAGACAGTGTCTTTAAACACGGCAAACCTTAAATATATAATTTGCAAACTCAGTGTGCTTATTTCCTCTTTTTTTTTTTAAATCAGGTGATGGTGGTGAAGGAGAGTTAGAGTTCTTCAAAGTCATGGCCGCTTGAATTCATTGCTTCTGGGTGCATTACTCTTCCCATGAACAAGATTGTTCCTAAACCAAGAGGCACAAGGCAAAAATCAGAATCATGTAGAAGAACAACACTTCAAGAACATTGTGATGAACACAAATGCAATATTAAAATGAGAATTTATGCACTGCAATGTTTGTAAGATGTATGCATGTAAGAGTGAGAAATAATTTAGTAACCATGAAAGGCGATGGATTGAGAGCCCTAGAGAATGAAGGCATCTTTATATTCAGAACAGGTACAGGACAGACAGAAGCAACAAAAGCGTATACTGTCAATACATCTCAATTTACTCCAGGGTTTGCTGCAAAGCCCACTGAAATCAATAGAAAGATTCATAGATTTTAATGGGCTTTGGATAAGATCCCTGGAGGAATCACCACTGGATATCAAGCAGATAGCTTAGTCTCCTCCACATCCATTCCAACCCTTGATTTCTGGGGAAGACTCTCACACAGTGGCAGCTAGCTTTAACTACAACATAGGCATCTGCCCACAGACAGCTCCTGTGATTCCTGCTCCTTCGGAATTCAAGCGGCAAAATGCCAAAAGAATGAAAAAAATCAGGCACAGAAGCAATTAGTCACAGAGTGATAAAATACTTCAGGTCTTTTACTGACTTGCTCCACCTGAATGGATGACATGAAACGGGGAAGGACTGTGAACAGAGGATGAGGGGGAAATTCAGAAGGATCTCGACAGACTGGCAAGTTGGGCTAGAGATAAAAGGATGAAGTTCAATATGGACAAATGCAAGGTGCTACACTTCAAAAGCAATAATCAAAAACACAAATACAAACGGGGGACACTTGACTTGATAACAGCTCTATGGAAAAGGAATTGCGAATCCTGGTAGACCACAGACTCAATATGAGTCTGCAGTGTGATTCAGCTGCACAAAAGGCCACTCTGGTTTTGGATACATCAATAGAAGCATAAGATGCAAGACATGGAAGGCAATAGTGCTTTTACTCGGCACTAGTTAGGCCTCATCTGGAGGAGTGTCTGTAGTGCTGGGCTCTACAATTTAAAAAGGACATGGAGAAGTTAGAGAGAGCCCAGAGGCAGGCAAGAAAGATGATTAAATGCCAGGAAGCCAAGTCATATGAAGACAGGCTGAAGGAACTAGGCATGTTCAGTTCATGGAAAAGGTACTTAAGAGCGGACAGGATAGCAATCTTCCAATACTTAAAGGGCTGCCATAAAGAAAAGGAAAATCACCTTTTTTCTCTTGCTGCAAGAGAGAAGGATGTGGACCAACTTGAAGCTGTAGCAAAGTAAATTTAGGTTGGATATCTGGAAAAACTTCTTCAGTGTGAGAACAGTGAGGCAGTGGAATAGACTGCCTAGGGAAGCTGGGGACTCTTCATCACTGGAGGTGTTCAAGAAGAGGTTGGACAGTCACTGGTCAGGGATTATTCAGGTGTAGCTACATCTATTTTTTTACCATAGGTATTTCCAATGCTTCTGGGCATTGCTGGTTGCTCCCGCCCCCTGCTCCTTTTTAGGGTGTTTTTAAGCCTCTGCAGAGGCATTGGGTGCTGGCTACAGCCAAAGCTGGGGATTTCAATTGGGGTGTGCCAATTCTCTTGCTAGGAGCAAAGGTGGAGGTTCCTGGTAAGAGGGTCTTGCCCCTCCACTCAAGGTCAGATCAATCGTCATATCTGAGGTCAGGAAGGACTGTTACCCCACAGTCAGATTGGTATGGATTGTGGGGGGTTTTGTCTTCCTCTGTAGTGGGAGGTGTGGCCCTCTGCCTGGCACCACTTGAGCATATAGTGACAACACTTTATAGAAGCAGGACATTGACTGCTGTGGTTTCTTTGCTTTACCTGTGGCAGGTTAGGGTGTTAGGTCTGTGCTGTCAGGTAGTCTTATGTACAGTTTAGATTATGGTTGCATGGGATGGATTAAGGATTATCCTGCCTCAGGTAGGGGGACAGACTAGATCAGATGACCCCCTGAGGTCTCTTCCAGCCCTACTTCTCCATGTCCTAAAGACAAAGCATCTATAAACCAGCACCAGTCTCCTGAGCTAGTCAGTCCCCATGGAGAACAAACAATTCTAGTCTAACCAGGCCAGTTTATTAATCGCTCACTAGTACTTTGGAGAGATTCTGAACCAAGGCTTTGTGTTTTGCCACACTTGTTGCTGGGTTTCTTTGGTGTACCTTGCCCATCTGTTGCAAGGTTTGTGACACAGGCTGTCAACATTTGCACGGTTATAGTCCAGTGGGGGCAAAGCTTGGTTGGGCTCTAGAGACTACAGCAATGTAAATGTTTAACAATAACTAAGGGGATTTTTTGCATGATGGGCCAGACTCACTTCAGATGCACTGAAGTGGCTGGATTTTGCTGCAGATGAGACAAAAATGCCAAACACACAGATTTCTGTTTGCTAAATGGCTGTGTAGTAATGTGTCATTTGTAATCCAGTCATATCCACATCATTAGCAAAAACAAATTATATATATAAAACCAAGACATTACTTAATCATAGCCCATTTTGCTAACGGGTGCTGTCCCTATCCTTGCCTGTCACCAAACATCAATAGTGCCACAGAATCACTCATATCTCTAGTATCTGTGTGTTAAGGAAGCCAGTTGGTATGAAGGCAAATCCTGTTGAACAAATGTTGCTGGCTTCATTGAAGTACAGTTATTATTGAAGTCAAAGTCCAAGAACACAGACTGCTTCAGGACAGCAGCCTCACATCCCTGTATGAAGTCAAATGTACAGCTATCCTCCAAGATCACAACAGCAATTTTGTCCCCACCTTCAGTAATTTTTTCCTCAAAACTGCTTATCAAACACAAGCAAAAATAATTTCTGGCCTGTTCTGGGTCTTTTTTTTTTATTTTTTTTTTTATTTTGGAGGAGTGCTGAAGAATGCACAAAAAAATGACTTTTTTTTTAAAGCTAACCTCTGAGTAATAAGTATTTCAGAGAACAAAAAATACCAGAAGGCCAGTTTATTGATCCACAATAGGCAGTTTCTGCTCCTGCATCCAGTGGGGATTCACTCAGAAGAATAAAAAAGCATCTCAGAAAGCTATGCACTCACCTGTTCTCCTGTTCCTGACCAGAAAGAAAAACGGATGATCAACTATGACCTGCGGGTACAGCACTGCCATTCTACTAATGGCAATCATTCCTGAGGGGCAAAAACAAAGAGGCAGCATGTTGGCCATTACCACATCTTTGCCATATTGTTCTCTTCTATAATAGGTTAGCTTCTTTGCAAGTGATACTTGTATAGCTCATGGATAGCCATTAAAGCCTTCACTACTGCACTGAATGTCACCAAGAAATAGTGTGAACAATCTAATCTAAAATGAAACAGACTTACGAAGTAATTACATGTCTATTTATGTTCCAAGAATGATTAACAATGGCCAGTGACACAATTTATTTCCAGTGCTGAGGGAACAGCTTATAATTTACAAAAAGGCAGAACCTTAAAGAGAGTTATGAAAGCCATTCCTTTTTGAAAAGAAATGCATTATAGCAAACAGTCTAACAGCCTTTATTGGGCCAGGCAATGCTCAAGCTTGCTTTTGTTACTTATAGGTAACCCCTTATTTTGGTGAATAAGGGTGTAGTGAAATGATGCTCAATTTATGTGGCCCTGCAGGCTGGATGAGTGATGCGGGGCCAATCTGCAGGCTGGATCCAGCATGAGGTCTTGAGTACATGAAAGTGATCTGGCATGCCTGGACTTGGTCACATGCTGCCCTGACCCTGTGTGCCCGGGTCTGGCAACGAAGCGATTCTGTATAACAGCCCAACTGTGCGCCAGTGTGATTGAGGATGCAAGGGCATGACATCCAGCTTGAGAAGCTTTCCACAGGTCTCGACATTTGGCAGCAGAGGAGCAGCAATTAACACTGCCCCTGCTACCCTTCCACCAAATGTCCAGACCCATGGGGGAGAGCCATGGGCTAGATGACAGACTCCACAGGCTGGATCTGGCCCACAGGCCACAGGTTGAGCACCACCAGCTTAATGGACATGCCTATCTTGCAGCTTTTAAATTAACTTGATTCTTTAAATACAGTAAATAGCAAAGCAACTAAGGATAAAACTTGCTATGAAAAATTTGGTTCTTCATTATTATGATTATTATTTTGTATTTGGAAATGTAAGGATTTCTCTAGAGCTTTATTATTTCCAAGTGTTTCATTACCTTTCACTGCATTAGCAATAAAAACTTATACGTGCCAGGAATACATATGAATGTTAAATTCCAAATGCAGAACTGCTATGGGATTTGTTACAAAGGGAACTTCATTTTTACCTTTCTCAAAAGAACAGCACAAGTACATTTGGGGTGGGGTGGGGAGGAGGATCACCTCATAACATAAACTGGCAGATAACAGAACTCATTTGCCTGTGTTTGGCCATTCAGTCCTTGAAGCATTACTGTTTGCAAACTAACCGTTTCAAGTTATCACGCCCCATTTTGCATTTCTGCTTTTGCACTTGAAGTGCAACAACATTGCTGAGCTAGTTCTAATCATTTTGGAGAAAATGCAGAGCACTCCTCAACTGGCAGATCACTCATGAGGAAAGCCCTCCTCCCCCCTGAAAATAATCACCATAGATTGCCAAGATTCAAGTTCCTAAAAGAAAATCTATCTTTAAAACTACAGCTTGTGCCCTCTCCTAGCTCTCATTAGGAAGGATATGGGGAAGAGGAATATCTTCCACCAAGCACTTTACATGCTCTTTATGACACATCACATGAAAAAAATGCTGGCATTTTTCAACTTCTAGCATCATTTCTAGGAAAGAGGGATGGTTGCTGTCTCCTCATGTTGAATCATGCTCAGCTTTTCTGGCTCTTCACCAAGACATTTTAAAAATATTAATTAGCATAGGATAGCCAGACCTATAATGTAAATCTATTGTTTGTTCATTTGGGTACCTGAGGCAGCAGCAGCTTCAGAGCCTTCTTCATTAACTTCTATGAATGACTTGTGAATTGCTTTAGCAAGGTAAAGCTCTTTGTTATCTGAGGGAGAAAAAGACACATTTGATGTGGGTCAGTAGTGAGAAGTGAAGCATTTTTAAAGCTATTAGAAGAATACAAACACACAGGTTACTGGGATGGGTTCTCCTTCAGAACAGCCCCTCTAAATAAACTTTTATCTTGTTTGTATTTGTATTGCTTTCCTTCTCTTTCACCAGCACTTAAGAACTTCAAATCAAGATCAGAGCTCCAGCAAGGCAGGTGCTGTACAAACGGACTGAAGAGACAGTGCCCATCTCAAACAGCTTAAAAGAAGACAAAGCAAACCAAGACTTGGAGGAAAGCAATACGTTGTTATAACAGAACATTTGGCTTCAATGCAGACAGAAGTGTCACATCTTCTGTAAATCCATTTTCAGAATTGGGTTCTAATTTCTCATGCCCATTTTCCTCTCTTTCCTGCAGTTAAGGGAAAGATGTTTACGGTCAAGGAATAACAACAACTCCAGAAGTTACCAGAGTCCAGCCATTGCCCAGCGATGCCAGTGGGAATTCTGTCATTCATTCCAGTATGATTGCAAATGGGTCCTCCTTGAGCTGTCTCTTCCAACAGCTCAGTATGGGTCTGAACCTGAAACCACTGGGAGTTTTGCTATTAAAATTCCAAGGCTGTAGGATCACATCCAGTGCACATGCACATGCGCGTGCACACACACCCCCCCCCC